TCTCCCCCTCCGCTGCCGGCACCGGCCCACCCTTTCCCGCCGGCGCCCAATTCCCGACACCCAGCCCCAGCCGTCCCTCCACACTACTGCTCATGCTGCCTCCTCTGCTCCCTCACGCACCAAACCCGCAACACCAGCCAGCAACCGGGCAACTCCCCACAACCGTCACATAGTAGCTGCCGAACAACCAACCACCGTCGCACCAAACCGCTGCACTACTGAGCAGCCCCGCAAGCTCCAATTATAGCCCAATCAATCCCACCCAGCAAAATCGAATCAAATATCAGCACCATGCCCTCACCACAATCGAACCACCAGGAGAACATGGATTACGCTTCAAAGAGAAATTGTTATTTGATGATTACAAAAACCATCTTACCTCACAAACTATTTCAATGGAAGACAGAAAGCTCAAAAGTCGTTTCGATGGAGAACTCAGAGAATCAAAGTAAGGTATAAAGAGGCTTAGATCTACCTTCATCAAACAATTTGGGGGAGAATTCTAAGAAAAATAATTAATTAGCAACAATGTTATTAAAATCGCGATTTGGATCGTAGAATCGTACGATTCTACGATCCTAATCCACCTAAACGATGTAAATCGTTGGTAGAATCGTTGTGCGGTGAAATCGCTCATAGAATCGGTAGAATCGGTTAGAATCGGTGGAATCGGTACCGATTCTACGATTCTATACCGATTCCACTCCTGCAAAAAACCTGATTTTTCAATACCCATAACTTTTGATTCCGAAGTCGAAATTAGGCTTATAATATATCATTGGAAAGCTCTTGAAGTCTACTTTCTAATAGAATTGGTTTCGTACCCATATCATTTATATATTTTATGTTATAGACTAAAGAGTGTAAGGGTGTCATAGTCGAACCTAACTTTAGTCAATAACATATATTATTAAATCTAAATCATAATAAAGCTTATAAAACATCAATTTAAATAACTTTTAAGATTCCATCCAACCAAATAAATTTTGTGGGCATAAGAATGTATTCACGAGTCTTATTCACTCAACTTTGGGCATATAAAAAGCACTTTTATAAATGAGTTTGTTGTAGTTGTCATTCTTTAGCTATTTCGTTAAATGAACTAACTTGACACTTAGTTTTCTATTATTAATGGATTTTTTTATTATGCATGGGTCTAGGGGAAACAATTTTACGAGTCAACAACGTTTTTTTTTTCATAATTTAACCACAATTGTCGTGTACTCTCATGGTTAAAAATGTGTACCAATAATAGGATTTTATAGTTTATAGTGTACTGTTTGAGTTATGCGCATGCGAAATTACTTCAAAAACTATTTTATGTTTGTATTGCCGATATTATGTTATTAACAATACATATTATTATCATTCTCATTGCTCTAAAATTATGTATATAGTCATTTGTTACATTTTGAAGCCCAATTTTACAATTTGGTTGAATCGTACGATTCTACGATTCGATTTTACCGATTCGATTCTACCCCACTCACCGATTCAAAGTAGAATCCCGATTCTGATAACTTTGATTAGCAAAGAGAGGAGAGAAAGGGGAACAGTACGGGGGTGGAGGTGGGGGAAAGATGAAAAAGATTTTTTTTTAAATTATTAATTTTAAAGATTAATTAACAATTAAACTTACTCTAAATCAAAGTAAACTTTTATTTTAACGTTTTTAACCATATGAGGTTACGGAAGTAACATTTTAAAAGTTGAGGGCTACCAAAGATAATCTATACTTAGTATTTAAAAACTCAAACCAAAAAAACATATGTCATCATTCTATTACACTTCTCTATTTTTTTTTAACCCGATGTGCCACATGTCATCTTACATTTTTAATTTTTTATTACACTATTTTTCTTAACACTTTCATTAAACACTTCATCTTCATCTCCCCTCTTCAATTCATTCTTTTTGTTTTCTCTCGTTAATTTATTAAGTCCCTTCACCTTCTTTCTATTAAGCCTCATTTTGAATTAAAGTCCCAAATTTTTTTCTTCTTCAATAGTTTAATTATGTTTTCAGTTACATATCACAGTCATAATTATTTGTTGGTACTCAGTATTTCCTCATTTATCTCTCAATGCAATTTTCGTGAACAACTCGTGCATTGCACGGGGTAGAAGGCTAGTTCATATACCAAGCGGCTACCATTGGAAATAAGCAAAAGTAAATGGCTACCAATGAGAATTTCCCTAAATAATTAAGTAGGAAATTTTTTTGGTGTAAATTTTCCTAGAGGTTCAATTAAAGGGACAGTATTTTCCTTTCTTCAAGTTTGGCATTATTTCATGGGTAAAGACCAAAGTTGCTAGTTGTGAAGGGCAAGTTTGGCATTATTATATGGGTAATGCCTGGGTCATTGAGAATTGAAAATAGGAGAGAAACATATTACCCCATTATAATTGTATCCTAATCCAGTTAATTCAAAAAATTAGATTCTTTTACTCCCTTAACTTTCCTCCCCTTCTATTATATATTTATTTTATAGTCCAGGCATGGCCCAAGTATTATGGAATATCATCAATTTAATTTAATATTGATGATTAATAATGATACTACTCCCTATTATTAATGATACTACAATTATCATTACTTCGGAGTACAAGAAATATTATTATTAATATTAATATTTATGATGATAACATATATACTAATAACTATGACAACACTTTAATAATGATATATTATTGTTATTAATACTATATTTAATTTTGAGTATATAATTCGTGTTACCAAGCATGTTTTTTGGTTGTTGAACCGCATGAAAAAAATTAGGAAAAAACCATAACAGATGGCAAAATGTCCTTACCAAACAAGCCCATTGACACTTCTGAAAATGACATGTGAGAAAACATGAGGGGCAAGTTGAGATTTAAGAAGGGGTTTCATGTCATTCAGTCCAATCAACTTAATCACCACCTAAATACTTTTGGGCTTTCACCAGGGAAGCCTTTCAGTATTACAGTGCCTGGACCGACAAAACTAAAATAGCAAAATCATTGGGTCTTAAGGATCTTGAAAACTACCAGTTTCCCTGGATTGCTACCGTGTTGAAATTTTTTCTGAAGAATTATCATTATTGTTGGTTTCAATAAGAGTTCTTGGCAGATCAACTGCTGTCATCCTATGACACAGACACACAGTAAGTTTCATGGTTGACCGAGTTTGACTGCATAAACTATTTTTTTGTCCATAAATCTGTGCTATTCAAGCAATAATGGAGTGCTTTGGGATACTGAAATATCTGAATCCAACCCATAGAACTTTGTGGTTAATTGTGTCTAGTTTAAGCAGTTATCTATCTGCATAGGCTGTCTGTTTAAAATCCAGAAAATCTTCAGCAATTTCTGCTGGTCTTCACTATTCACACTTAGCGTCAATGTAGTTTACCTACAGTGTCTTCTTTATACATGCAAAAGAATTTGAAATACTCCTTGTTTTATCCACTCTGCTTCCCTGGTATGCTTTAAATTATCCGATTCTCATATCTGAGCGTGATAAGAATTTGTGGATCTGGCCATCGTAGTGGAGACATATTAAGCCTTGTTGTGTCAAGCAAGCTAATGTAGATATTCCTTGCACAACAAATTTCTAAAACAGGGGAGTTTGGGGGTCGTGAAAAATATAAATAGTACAATTTAATTTTTGTATTGGTTAACAATCTTAACATTGATTTGGTGGTACTAGATCAGGTTTGCAACAATTACTCCAACAGATAATCTGAGTTTCTTGCATAACTCCTTTTCTTTACATTGCAACTGCATCATTGTGTCTGGTTTGCAGATGCATTTAGAATTCACAGGACTTCTCTTTACATTGCAACTGCATCATTGTGTCTGGTTTGCAGATGCATTTAGAATTCACAGGACTTCTCCCCTCCCATTGATTAGTGTACCATTGATTTTGCTTCTTTAGAGAATTCTCTTAACACTTCAGCTTTTTGTTCCAAATTGAAATATTGTGTTTGCTTTTATGGTCATTTTCACGTCTTTACCCGTTGTCAGTGAGAGCTCTTGCAATTAAGACCCTGGAGAATTTTTGTTTAATTAACAATGACACGATTATCTTCTAACTTGCCGGTGCTTCCCTGCAGCATTAGGAGGGCGATTTTAGATCGGGGAACTAAAGGTATTTTGAAGTACCTGAAAGACAAACTTTGAGAGATCCTTCTATTGATGGCTTTTTTCTGGTTGCCACCTGTCACTGGAATGAAAGGATCTCGTCCATTTGTCCAGTGTTCTGGCATGGCTGCATTTGACAAAGTGGTGGATGAACAGATCTTTCAATCATTGATTTCTTGCTTGGCTTTGTTTCTGTGTTATGATTTTGTAATTATTATGAGTGTTATATTACTCTAAAGGCTAGGGCAGGAAGTCTTGGGGTTGTATTTGGAATATAGGACCTGATTGTCTTATAAGGTGTTGTAAATTCTTCGATTTGAACGAATTTCACTCAGGATAACTTTCTATCGAGGCTTCACCACACTGTGTTTTCTCTCTCTGAAAATTTGAAGCTTCATATAAGTTTGAGATTATTTGTAAAATTCCTCGGCTGAATTTATTGTTATTATTATTATTATTTTTTAATCTTGTTTGTGAATAAGTGGTTTAGAGTTCTGAAATGGTTCTGTTAACTGAAGTTTAGCATATGCAACACCAGAGCGATGCTAGAATTGACATTACCAATGCTTTTGCAAGATGAAAAAAATACTTGTGAGCATAAAATTATGGTAGCAAGGGGGAGATTATGTAGTAGACCTGATCATTGGGTGGGGCGGGTAAAAGAGGGTCACATTTTATAGGGTCAAGATCAGGTCGGGCAAATATGGGTCGTGGGTCAATAGCGGGTTGATAATGGACGAGCCAACAAAATATCAGTTAAAATAAATATTGAACCAAGCCATTATTAAGTATATATAAATACATTTTTCAAAAAAAAATAAAAATAAATACATAAATACAAATTTATCTATGTAATTATTTTTACATTATCTATTTAGTTTGTCTATTAAATTAAAAACATTTTAGCCCTGTTCATTAAAGGCCTTGTCCATTAAAAGCCCTTTAAGTTTGGTCTTGACCTTATTATCATTAGGCTACCCTACCCAATAACCAGCTATATTATGTAGTAGTATGTCACATATAGATATTCAGTTAAAACAGGCACATACATGTTTCAGTTGATGCATATATACCAGATAAAATCTTGCTTTTATCTGTTAAATGCCACCATTGAATGCCTGTTAAAGGCCAGTTTGCTTGTGACCTATCTTACTTACTAAAGGGAGGGGAAAAAAAATTACAAGCCAGGGGATCTTTTCAGAACAAATTAATTGAATGGTTAATCTCCTGCCTAATGACGAGCCAAAAAGTTCTTTCCTATCTCTCACAATTCTGATTCCCTTCCTGCCCTATAAGATTATTAGAATTGTCCGCTAAATTTTGCCCATCAGCTTCTGATAGTAATCTGAATTTCAGAATTTTATGGAGCGATGTTACAGGCTTGATATTCTTGGATTGACCTTGATTTGGGTCGACTATACATGTTCCCTTGAAAAGGTTAGCATCCGAGGATCCTGTTTCTTCATGAATTAAAGGCGCCCTTTCTGCCAACAACAACAGAAATTTACAGGTGAATTGTGATAATTCGAAATTAAATCACGTGTAATTGATTGAAAATGAAACTGCCTACAAAAAAATGGATCTTCTACTTTCATGACAACAATTGCTTGAGTTATATACTTATCCAGAAGCACTCGTGCTATTCACTCCATACATCCACTGGCCTATACTTCTGAGCATTTGACCAGTATAAGTCTATAGGTTACATGATTTTGACCCCAACTAGCATGATATTTTACTTCTTTTAACATTTATCAATCTATCTTATTATGGTGAATAACAATAGACCATGGACGTGGAACCAAGTTGAATGACTCATTACCAAGCAAAATTATCCTAATCCAAACAACCTAATTGCCACTTCTGACCTTCTGTCTTAAAAAATTATCAGCAAGCCTAACAAACACAATTTAGCTTAATCTTTAAGATTTAATAGAAAAGAGAAAACCACATACCCTTCTCTGAAAAGATTAAGCATGTTCCAATAGTTTCTTCATATTCTCCTATCTGCAGACAAGATGACAGTATAAGAGCAGAATTCCTCGTTAAAAGAGCAAGATTGTAATGCCTTTAATACAAGTCTTGCTATAGGTCGAGCTCAGACATAGAAAGCATCCAGTCTTAATGTCTTATACCATTACTTAGTCACTCTCAATAGCTAATGCCCCAATATCTTATCACAACGACAATTATGCTCCAATTTAGTAGGAGCTTCAGGAGCGTTAAAAAACTTCTTGAATCCTCTTTAAAACACATTCATTGCCCAGATCTCGCCTCCTACAAAAACCTACATCAATTGTTGAGCTAGTTACATCCTAAACGAGTTTGCACTCCAGATCACTACTCCAGTGCTCCACATATATTCAAAAATAAATTGTTTCAACTTGGTTTCTAGTCTTTGGTTCCAAGCACCAATCACTTTTGTCTTTAGGACAGTTGGCAGATATATTTGAAGAGTGTGAACAACCTTAACCCCCCACCCCCTTCCCCATGTTATCAGTCAAAGAAACATTTACAAACTTACGTTTATCCACTTGGCAGAATTAGTACAATAACCTAACCACCCCCCCCTAGAATTAGATTTATCTACAAAAAAATTAGAGGTATGATACAATCTTGGAAGACCAAAAATAAGTCAAACTTCTAGAAATCCTGCTGAAATTGTTAAAAATCAGAATAAGGGCTATTATCCAACTTGGACTCATCATAGAAATCTTTCTGTCAGAATCTTCTCTTATAATAAAGTTGAAAATTCTTAGATAATTTCAGATAAAACAAGACAAATAAGAAGATATAATGTTACAACGAACAAAAGGCCATTAGCTCACCAGCTTCAGTTTGTCCCCAATGGTCAAGATGGGGTTGGCTGTATCCAAACCCTGCAATATAATTTTATACTTGTCAGGTTCAAGGTCATAAGAAGAAATGGAGTTACTAATCAATACCTTTCACATAGTTTCCCAAGTGATTACTACTAACCAACTTGTCCCAAATGCAATAGCAAAAGGTCCAATTACCATGTCAAATATCATGTTACAGCAGGATAAACATCATGTTTATATGGATCATGTATTGCAGATAGAATTATAGTATCCATAATTCTGATTAAATCACTGTATAAAATCAAGGGAAGATATTTTGTGAAACAGTTTCATAACCTCTAAATTATTTCTGATAGGAGAAACTTACGCTTTTTTTACAGTGATGATTATATTAATTCTAGAGGTGAATAATATAAGAGAGTGCTATCGAGAAAATTAACCAAATTGAGTACTTAAATTTGATTCATTTTTATAGTATCTAATGTGCATGGTAGATGAGTATTGGCAAGGCCTCTTAGAAACTGACATGGCAATGAGCTACACTAATCATGATGATAAGGGTAAAGAAAAGAGCAAAACATGGACAATTCTAATTGAAAAAATCTACATGTAGGCTATGTAGCTAATATGAAATGAACCACAATATAAGCATGTTTATTGCCTTAAAAATGAACCGAAGAGCACAGAAATCACCAAATTAGCTCACTTTCAAATATGAATTGGAAAAAGTATTTACTATTCCATTGTACTAGCATTTTACCCAATTTTCTTTCACTATTTTACTGAGAGGATATCTATTAAAATCAATGTCATCCGGAAGCAAGACAATAAATTTGAGACACGTAATAACTGTCCACACGAGAAATAACATACAGATAGAATGTATGGCTCATTTGGAGAAATGTCGAGTTGGCCACAAACAGCGTCAAGATTCAGCAATACATACTCGTCTTGCTGATTGTGATCAATGTTTGTTGCACCTAGTTCCATTACCTGCCAAACAGAAAGAAGCAAAGGTATAGAGGTAAGGAGACTAAGGACAAAAGAAGCATCACATCCATGGGCCAACGTAAGCAAGATATATATGATATAAAAAGGAGTATTTTCTTTTCCGTGCATAAAACCACCTAATTCTAGCATTCAAATTCTTTTCAGTTTTTTTGCAAATTTTAATTTCAAAGTATGTTGTTGAACAGTTGTCTCAGGGAAAAGTTACATCCTTCAGGACATGAATTACATGCACATTCTTCATCAAACACACGCAAAAACCATTGATACTAGATGGTCATTTATGCTATGTTTGGATAAGAAATTAGAAGGGAAATGGAAGGGAGGGAAATAGGAGGAAGGGGAAGGAAGGGAAAGTGAGGAAATGATGAGCTCCATTTTCCCTCCAAATCTCTCCAATTTTGAAGGGATGGTCTTTATTAAAGGAGGAGGGAAAATGGATCTCTCCCTCCCCCTTCCCTTCCTTCCCCCAACATATTATCCAAACAAGGAACTTTGTCTCCCTCCCTTTCCCTTCCCTTCCTTTCCTTCCATTTTTTGTTATCCAAACATACGCTTTGTTTGGATAGCAAAGAAGGAAGGAAAAGAAGGGGAGGGAAAATGGAGGAAGGGAAGGGAAAAGAAAGGGAGGGGGAGGTGAGCTCCATTTTCCCTCCAAATCTCTCCAATTTTGGAGAGATTATGGTTATTAAAGAGAGAGGGAAAATGGATCCCTCCCTCTCCTTCCCCTTCCTTCCCCCAATCTTTTACCCAAACAAGAGATTTTGTCCCCCTCCATTTCTCTTCTCTTCTTTTCCTTCCATTTCTTCTTATCCAAACAAAGTGTTAGTCTTAGTAACCCTTTTATATTACTACATAACTACAAAAGCTTTTATTCCTAAAGTCGTGCCTTGGTCTAGGTAACCCCCTTCCATAATTTTCTTAATGATTTGTAAATAGGCTTAATTGGAATCAAAGATGATGCGTATATTACACTGCTTCACCGAGATATCTATACCTAATATTTAAAAACACAAACCATCATGCCCATCATGCCACATGTACACTTTATTTTTCACCAATGCAATGCCATATGTCACCTCATTAACATTTTATTTAATTAATCCCCTTTCTCATATTTTTTTTTAAAAAAAACTAGCTTTAATTCAATACATGTATGAATGTTGTTTGGTTCACTTTCCCTCAACTTAATATCTTCTACAATTACATTTAATTTTCACCCCTTTAATTTGTCTCCTTTATAAACTATTTATTTTCCAATAAAAATATGTTATAAAATAAAAATTAATATTGTATACATATAAATAACCCGTGCATTGCACGGGACAAAAGGCTAGTTTGTTGAAAGAAGTTTACCAAGCAAGACCCTCTCCTCGACTCATCTGATATTGTAGTATTCCAAGTTAACCACTTATGCCTCTAAATAAACTTCCCTTTATCATATGCCTACTCTACAAATCCACTTCTACAAAAACTTCAAATAAAGTTCTTAATTAATCTTCTCATAATTGAAAGTTAAGACCAGGTTACTCATAGCTCTAGAAAAAGGAACCCATGTGCTTATACCCAAAAGACTAACCATCCCCACGCGATAAAAGCGAAAGGCAGACTAAAAATTAAACCAAGTTCATTATACTTTAACCCATAGAAAGTCATTCAGGCATTTTAACAAACACCTTCTAGGCGTCCCCTACAAATCTACAATGCTCATTATTTACATTTTAACCAACCAAAGCAAATTGCACCCGGAAAACCCCATTTCATAATCACAATCTTTTCACCATCTTTTTCAAACTACAATCATAATCTATGATGTTACCCTCATTCAAGTAGCTTTATTTATCCCACTAATCGAGCGTTGCATGTGCACATAAAACGTTGTTTTATATTGCTTATTATCCACTAATCATGATTTAAGAACTCTACTTTGATCTTGTCAAAAAAAGAATACTACTTTGATTATTTAAAGCAGATTATTTAAATTTGCAGATAATTGGAAATTAAGGACAGAAAAATATATACCTTTGCAGAGAAGAAATGTGCTCAAACAGTTCACTTGATAAGAACAGTGAGAGGGAGGAGCTCTTAATTTAAATTTACTAGAATGAACCCGTGATACTTGACTAGGAAATTGGTCATATTTAGATCGTGCATTTGGCTATGTAGCCTTGTATAACTAAAATAAGTATGATCATCGATTTTATACGAGCAATCTTGGATGTTATTTGACTAAAAATCTAGGGGGTACTAAACCGCGTCCGGTATTTACCGGGTAACGCCCGTATTTTTATATGAACTCCCTTAAGTAACCCTTTCTTAAATAACTCTTCAATTTTCTCTCTCTCACTTTCACTTTTACTTTTCTCTCTCTTCACCTTAAAAATTTCATTCACAAACACCACCAATCAAATCACCACCACCAAGCAAACCACCACAATTCCGTCACCACCAAACAAAGCCACCATAATTCCGTCGCCACCAAGGATTGCGACCGGCTACAAGGGACGATATCAATCGAAAAGGTAAGGGGGTTGGCGTCAGGTATTTGTTTTTATTTATTTTTTTATTTCAGTCGTTCCAAACGAATGCCTGAAATTTTAGGATGTTCCATGGAAGGAACACCTGAAATTTTAGAATCCCCCCTCGAACATTCTAAAATTTCAGGCGTTTCCCCCTGTAACATTCTAAAATTTCAGGTGTTTCCCCCCTTGAACGCCTTAAATGTTAGAATGTTTTAAGGGTGATTCTAAAATTTCAGGTGTTCCTTCCATGATTACGAAAAAAATAAAAATAAAAATAAAAAAATTCATAGCACTTATCGACTCCCTATGCTCCGACGATCTTTCTAGTGGCGTCGTTGCTTCCTTAAACTTGTTCATTCACCGTTTGTGCTAATTGGTGTAAAACAAATATTAAAAAAATATGACATGGTGGTTGTTCGTAGGTGATGGTTGTTTGGTGGTTGGTGGGGTAACAAGTTAGAGAGTGGTTAAAGAAAGTGAAAGTGGAATAGGATCAATTTTATATGGGGAGATGTTTGTAAAGTCATGTTAAAATACGGGCGTTACTCGGTAAATACTGGACGTGGTTTAGCAATTCACAAAACGTACGGGGGAACAAAAGATTGTTTATACTACATCGTAATTAAATTAACTATTTTCTAGCATCAACTAAACTTAAAAGAAAACAAAAGATAATGTGTAAATTTTTAGATGAAGAAAGCACATCCTAAAATGATCGAGCAATTAGTTAAATGAGCAAATTCATCAAAGAAGGCAATTTTTTGTTTAACAAAGTTCAGAGAGTGCACACCCTTTTAATCAAAACCACACAAGTAATTGTTAAGAATTCAACTCATCCCAAACCAAACATTAGCTAAAAGCTACCTTTAAAAATACAATGAATCGAATTGTTAAATGTTAACAGTATATTTCAAAAATACAAAGTATTACATTGATATCACTTTGGGCTCTCTTTACACATTTAGACAGCTGAATAATTGATCCCTCTTTAAGTCTTTAGATGCTTCTTAGAGAACATTTCTAGTGCTCTTCAAAAAGGTAGTGGAAGGTCTACTTAACTATATTAGCAAAGTAAGCAAATTGGCCGATTTTCGGATTTTCTTCTTTTCATGGCTGTTGCCAGATAGCAAGCAGTTCATATGCAAATATTTGTAGGAAACCACATGAAGGGCTAAGCCAACTCCCTGTTTGTCATGCCAAGCCAAAACAGCATATAATCTGTCATATTACATGCTGTAAAGTCATATCTCAGTGATCTGATAAGAGGGCATGGAAGCTCTGCAGAAGCAACAGATAACCATTTTCAGAGTACTAACATTCAAGAAACTGACCGAGTAAAGGTCAAAATAGTTGGGAGTTCACGGTAGAAGGTAAAGGTAAAACAACCAACTGCCGAAATAAAGAAGCTTATAAGAGTAGTATGCTAGTGCAACACCTACTCCTACTGAAGCATAAATCCAAAACCCGGGAATAGTTCTAGCACAGTATGAACCGCAACAATAAGCCCAGCAGACCTCTAGACAACTTATATAATTGATGTTAAAAACTATTCTTCACACTATTGGAATACACTATTGGAATCCATTCCTGCAAGGTGCAAAGTCCTCTTTAAGAACATGTAGCAGCTTTTTGTAGGTAGGTGCATCAACAATGTGTTTCTCCTGAAACTCTTTCAATAACCTCAATGCCTCTGCAGCTCTTCCTTTTCGGCAATACTCATCCAGAAGTGTCTTATAAGTAATGAGATCAGCCTTGTACTTTTCAGTCATCTCCCGCAAATAGCTGAGAGCTTCCTCAATCTCACCACCTAGTGCCAAAGAACTCACAAGAGAGTTGTATGTGTTAGCGCTAGCAACAAACCCTTTTTCCTTCATCTGAAAAAATAACTCCCTGGCGTTATTTGTCCTGGTTTGAGCACACAGTCCATAGATAAGGTAATCATAAGTGAGTGCATTAGGGACACAAGTATAAACAACACCCATCTGATGAAATATCCTCAAGGCCTCATTGACATGATTAGAAAGCACATATCCTTGTATCATTGAATTGAGGGCGAAAATGTCGGGCTCAATTTTATCATTTATCATTTGCTTGAAAAGGCACTCCATAGTACCCATGTACCAGTGATTGATGTATGTATCTCTTCTACGGCTAAGAAATGCAGCAAACAAAAGGTTGTAAGTCCTAATAGACGGCCTGCAATCTGAATTGTTGGCCTTCTTCATGTGTTTGAACACAGTAATAGCTCTGCTCAGCTTCCTGGCTTGAGTGTAGTAGTAAATAATAGTATTATACAGAGCCTCTGAACCAAAATGAGGAAGGGCAAGGAACTGATCGACAACATCATACATCTCCTCAATCATCCTGCCAACCCCAAGCTTCTGGACAGTAATGTGGTAGGTATTCATGCTATGCTTAAACCTATGTTGTTTTGACGCCCAATTAAAAAGTTCTAAACACACCAAAGGATCGTCTTCCAAGGCAATGGCATCGTGCAAATCATCAGCATTAAATCTTGCAGGCAGTTGGGATATAGCCTTATTGAACTGAACCTCATTAAGCACGGGTTTTCTAGCTAGTCTAAGCCTTCTATTAACCCGTTGTCTATAAGCTCCTGAAAATGGTCTATACGGCTTTGAAGAATACCACAATAAGCTGGTACGATTTATTTGAGAATAATGTGAATGGATGGTAAAGGCTGGGGTGAAATTAGACCAACCAATTCCAGCATCATTTACTTGATGAGGTGACACAAGTTTTGAAGAACAAACTTGATGGAAACACGAAGTAAACATACACGTTAACCATTTAAACCGATAATGATTGTAAAACCTCTGAATCGAGTTAAAGAACATGATTTCCTTAAGTATACATGTCAACTCAACAATTTGGCCCTCAACAGATACGCTCGGGGCAGCTAAAAATGAGTACCTACAACAACAACAAATGCTCCTCTTGATGATACAATAACCTACCAACAATAACAACAACAAATTTTGCTTATGATTATACGAGTCCGGAAAATACAATATGATACCTATAACAACAAATTACGCTTTTAATTATACGAGTTCGGAAATTACAATATTATAGAATGAAACAATGTCAACTGGCAGGTCAGCATTTGAATTAAAGCATACGAGCAGCAAACCAATAACATAAAATTCGTCTGGCTTAATAGTATCAAGGTTAATTGCACATATAAAAGTTCTAGCAATAAAATTGCTGGTTATATCTTTCAGTATTATACCTAATAGTTCAATAATCCAACTTAGAAGAACCCTAAATTAATTATACAGACAATTAAATTAAAGATAAACCCTAGATTGTGAAATTACGATATTCATTGAATAATGAAAATGTTACCTCAGAAACGGCTTAATGGAGGAGAGAATGCTTAGAATTTCATTCAATGGAGGATTCAGAGAACGCTTCAATGGAGCAAAAAAGGGAATGAGGTGCACTGTAAAAGTGAAGACTGAAGAGCTAAAAAACGACACACGTTTAAAAAAAACGACACTCGTTTAAACAGAGGCATTTCACTGTAAAAGGGAATGAGGTGCACTATAATCACTTTTTTTTTTTTTTTTTTTTGAAATTCTCATTAATAATTACAATCACGAACTTTTATTTTTTCGGTAAACCCTAAAACTTTTGATTATCAATGGTAAACATGAATTAATATTACTAAACTAATGGTAACATTAATGATATTTTAATATTATTAAAAGATTAACTAGGGTTAATCTTGGGTTAAGTAACAATAAATTTACATTAATACCCTTCAAATTATTTAAAAAACAACAAAAAAAAAAAACAAAATAAATCTGAACCCCTCCCCAGTTACCAGGCAACTAGCTCAGCAACCGCCCCTCCCCGCCGCTCAGCTCGCCTGGCCAACGGTTTCTCAACCCCATCCTCCGCCGGAGACCCCACCACCGACACCCTAATCCTAGAACGAGCACCTTCTCCCCTGTTCCCGACCCACACGCTCTCTCCTCTCATCACCACCGAAACCAGCCATCCTCCCTAGCCGAAATCAGCACCCTTCCTCTTCCTCGATTCCCTCTGATCTTCTTCCCCGATTCCCTCTCATTCCCCTTACTTTGATTAAAATTTCTAGGACTTTTGGCAATTTTGGGGTCAAATTTGTTGATTTTGGGGGTCGAATTTGACGATTTTGTTGATTTTTGAGGTCGAATTTGTTGATTTGGGGGTCAATTTTATTGATTTTTGGGGTTGAATTTGTCGATTTTGGGGTTGAATCTGTTGATTTTTGGGGTCGAATATGTTGATTTTGGGGTCGAAATTGCCGAATAGGTTGATTTGGGGTCGAATTCGTTGATTTTGGGGTCAAATTTGTTAGTTTTAGGTCGAATTTGTCGGGGTTTGCCGTTGAATTCTCTGGGTTTTGCGGTTCGAATGGCAGCGTCCTGAGGTTTGTTGTTGAATTGTTTCACGTGTTTCACTCGGTTGCTATGATCAAGCCATAGGTTATACAACACTAAAGCTACGTCACTCCGAGTTCGCTCCGATTCTGACCTTAACAAGTAGTTTAACAATGACGGTGGTGGCTGGGAAGGGAGTTGCAGCGGGGAGGAGGAAAGAGAAAGGAAGAAGAAAGAAGTAGTTATGCATAAGGGTATTAATGTATTTTTGTAGGTCGATTGCTAAACCATGGTAAAGGAATTTACAAATTGTTTAACTTAAGTTACCATTAGTTTAGTAATATTAATTAATGATTACCATTGATAATAAAAAGTTTTAGGGTTTACCATTGAGAAAAAATAAAAGTTTGTGATTACCAGTGAGAATTTCCCTTAATTTTTTTTGAAATTCAACTGTGAAAGAAAGAAAGATGTGAGATAGAGGGTGAGGATGAGGATGAGGATGAGGAGATTAAGAGAAGAGGGTCGAAGATTTGAAGGGTGGAAATAGGAGGGAGGCTTTCAGTTTAGAGGATTTTAGTTTAGAGTTACGAAGCATAAATTGTTTCTGTGGGTGGCATAATGTGTATTGAGAGGAGTCAGTTACCTTCAGTTAACATAAATGGTTACCAATTTGTCCCTACCAAATAGCGGATAAGAGAATCTAATGCCTGAATCAGTTTCCGGCCCTTACTTTTGTCGTTTCAAACATGTCCTTAAAGTGAAAACATAGCCTTTGGGATTTTTTGAAATAATAAATGTGCCACATATTCTCCAAAGTTTGTACTTGAAACATAAGTTTTGGGCACCTAAATTGCTAAAATGTTTTTATTTATTTATTTATTTTTATTAGATAATCAACAGTAGCTCGCCTTCTCCAACCTGCCAACAGTAACCTGCTTTGGATATTTACACCTTTGCTCAGGATATATGTTGTAGATATATCGTGATAATAAAAGTAATAAGCTTATTGGAGTGCTAATACTCAGCAATTTTCTAGGAAAATCTATGGGGACCTGTTTAAATTGTTGTGTATGAATAACTTGGATGCTTAAGAATGTCACTAGCTTTCTTTTTGTTGGGCATTATGCTATCATTTAGAATATGCACATTGCTCAAAAATAATAATGAAAGAAAACAGATAAAGAATTTGATGTGTTATTCATACTAGGAAAATGTAATACCACTGTACCAGAACATGGTTAATGGTTGAATGGATGCTTTTGGGGAAAGTAAACTGTACTTTTTTGGACTTCATAAATTAGAAGTGTGTTTCCTTGTAGGACTTGACAAACAATAGTCAATGAAAGAGCTTCACCTTTACTGAACCACAAGTATGTACCAAGGTGAGGTGTTCCTAACCCAAAAAATATATTGTTTTCTAAAGTGAAGATTCTGCTGGAGTTATGGGGTCTTCATAAATACATTTTAGTAGCATAAAATCTGGAAAATTGGCAGAAAGTAATTCAAAGTATTACCTATATTCTCAATGTATTAAATAATTATGTACAAAGAATTTTGTTTTTTTTTTTTTTTATAACAATTTATCAATGCAATGGTTTACTTTATGTCAAAAGTTCCATAAATATTTTTCATTTTTCCAAATTAAAATGATTTATTTAGGTATCCAATATTATGAAAAAAGTTTGTAATCTCTAAAGTTATTCATTATTATGAGCGGTTGTTTGGTTCAACTAAGGGAAAGGGAAACAAGGTGAATGGAATAAAATTCCCTTATATTTAGGAAGTTGTTTGTTTTAAACAATCATATTCATTCTTTCAACCACAACCACCACTTAATATCAGAAAACCACCATACAACCACCCACAAGCCATAATCCATTACTTCTCACTGCTTTCGTCGCCACCTCTCCCTCTTCTGTTGTCACTGTGCCACTCTTCCCCTGTTGCCACCACACCGCCCAATCTGTCTCTCTCTCTTTTTGGAAAAATCTTAAAGTTTACCACCATGAAAATGGTAAATTTACAGTTTCAAAGGTTTAATTCAGGGTCTGTTTGGTACAGGGTATTCTATGAATTTCCTATAAGTGTATATTTTTGAAAAATAAGTTTACCACCATGAAAATGGTGAATTTACGGTTTCAAAGGTTTTTTTTTTTCATTTTTCTTGAATTTTTATTCAAATTTTTATAGCCGGTTTTCGATAGCTTGGTTGTTTTTGTGGGGTGGATGGGTGGTTACCTGCGGTTTGAAGGTGGTTTATTGGTTGGTTGAGTAATAACCGGCAAGTTGGGGTTGGTTTCGTGGTTGGCAAAATTGTTTCCGGCGGTCTGAGGTGGATTTCTGCGGATCGGGCAGTGATTTGAGGGGTCAGTGGTGGTCAACGTTACTTAGGTGGTGATATTGGTGGTCGTTGTTAGTGAGGTGATCAGCTCTCTTGAATCTCTTTCCCTTTCATGAATACCCTGTACCAAATGGCCCCTAAATATTAGTGAGTTTATAAAAACATAAACTTGTAGGAAATTTATAGATAATTTTAAGTATTTCCAGCTATAGTATTCGTATCATTCCTAGGTACTATTTTACTCCCATTTTTACAAGATAATTGATTAACATGCCACTTTTGACTTTTATACGTAGTAGTTGAATCTTTTGAAACTAAACTGTTAATAGCTCATTGTTTCATATTAATTCAGTTGAGTGACTGGAATATTTTTCATGGAAGCCTAGAAAACTTCACATTACAAATTAGACTACATTTTGGGATATAATATAAATAAAGCTAAGGAGCTTTGCCCTCCAAAACAAATGTAGCCTATTCTTTTGAGTCAATGTAAGAATTACTTTGATCATATAGTGTGACAATAACGTTAGTATCATACTACATATACATTAGACAATATTACTAGGTAACCTTTTGTTGCCCCCTGGCTCTGTTGATCTGTTTAGCATACCTTACTCTTGATTTATTATTCTGTTGTTGCTAGAAGGTTGAGCAAAATATAGGCAGAGCGACTAGGTGTTTATTTACCTGTTAAATGTTTGATATAGGTGTTTGTGTTGGGCTATGTATGTTTATTTCCTTACCCTTGATTTATTATCCTGCTGTTGTCAGAAGAAGGTTGAGGAAAGTATAGAGAAAGGTTTGACTCGGTGTTATTTTATACTTGTTAGAGGTTTCATTGGGTGATCGTAATGGGTTAGGTTTGTTGGAGGTGAAATGCTCTTATATGTAATTCTCTGTTTCGCAATCTAAGGTTTATTCAGGGCACTCTAACAAAGCATCCTAAGACTCCTAACTAAAACTGATCGCAATCTATTGTTATAAAAACTATATAAACTGGATTCAGTTATTAGGGTTCGCTCTTTACTCCTAAATTATTTTAGAATTCTTGACAAACATGTATTACCGGCCTTTAGTTTTTGACCAGGCTGGTGGTCTGGAGGATGTGGAACTAAATTGTAGCTACTTAATGAGTTAATGGGTTGCTTTAAACGTTCCTTTAAGGTTTGCCTCTCTTTTTTGGGAGAGCTACCAGTTTAGGTGAGGATTGATGATTATAGTCTGTTGCCTGTTGAAATTTATTTGCAATCAAAACTCTTTGCTTACAACCACTCAGTGATCGATTCTTTTTTTTTTTTTTTAAAATATTTTATTGCCTTTTCCCCCCATCTCTGTTGTACCGAATTTCCTAGTATTCCTCACAAGTCAAGCAAGTAACTGTGGGGGGGAGGGTGTGGAGATTAAATGCTGTTGGGAAGTCATTTATCCATTCTTTAGTTGTTGTACAAAATACTGAGGATTTTCTTTTGTAAAGACTGCTTTATTTTTGCATCAATTGTTTGAGAGTATTATTGAATTACATGGGTAAGTATTTGAGTAAAATTATGTACCTTCTACTTTAATATTAGTATTACTAGTATATACTTAAAGGAAACATCACCCTGAATTATACTTGCTTTTGGATGGATATTGCAGTGCCTTCTGTAACTGAAGAAACATGGAAATCTCTGGTCCTGGAGTCAGATTTACCTGTCATGGTTGAATTTTGGGCTCCATGGTGTGGGCCTTGCAGAATTGTCCAACCTGTAATTGATGAGTTATCTAAGGAGTTTGCTGGTAAGCTTAAGGTGTTCAAAGTTAACACTGATGAGAGTGCAACCATCGCATCTGATTATGGAGTCCGAAGCATTCCCACAGTTATAATCTTCAAGAATGGCGAGAAGAAAGAAGCAATTATTGGTGCTGTTCCCAAATCCACTTTAACCTCCAGCATAGAGAAGTTTTTGTGAACATGATATGTAGTGGATGCCTATGAGGGATTCCAACTTTTCTAGTGCTTCTTTTTTCCCTTTTTTCATTAGGTATTATATGGTAATGCTTTGCTAAAACAATAAATTTCTGGCGATCCTGTATAGTTGATGCTATTGTATTTGGGCTCCTTGGAAGATCAAGTTAAATTTTTCGTAGTTGTGGATACATTTGTATCTATTCTTATTTGTGATCTTGCCTTGCATGCACATGCTTGCTCACTAATCCTCCATACATTCATTCTGTAATCCAGAATAATGATAAGGCAGTTTGTTTTCCATGGCATTTCAGTGTTTTGCAGGTTTTCCAACCTTCGTGCTACAACCTCTGGATAGTTCATTCTAGATTGTACTTGATGATGATGAAATTTGTTCATCACAAATCTCACATTACTTGGTCTAATTAAGTTTATGCAGGAGTAATTTGTTTATATATTCATATATGGGCTCCAAAAACTGTGACAGTACAACGTCCGAGTCTATATCTGAATTAGAATTCAAGCTCTGTAGGACTCTAATTGGCTGCTGTTAGTGCTGTATATCGTTTCTCTGGTATTGCAGAAAGTTCAGGTGTATGTAATTTTGGTCATTGGGATTTGAGAAAGGCTAAGTGTGTGGACTTGTGGTTTGGTATTGTATGATCGTTACGTATAACTTTTAATTTGGCTCCAAATTATGGGCAAATGTCTAGCTAGTAAGAAGTATGTACAAACTATGGTCCAAAGTACTCTGTACTCCGCATATTTTTTGAAGAAAGTCATGCCATTTGTTCCGCATTTAAATTTTTGACGGGCCAATTAATTAGCTATTATGAAATGGGAAGTTGGAAGCCAATAAAGTCATGGCGTTATAGGTAAACATTAAATATACAAATCATTTGTCCTTTGTTTAAAAAAAGGAAATTTTGCAAAAAAATCACTTTTTAAATCTCATTTTTTTGCAAATAACCACCTTTTAAAAAAAATTGTTGCAAAAAACCATCAATTTTAAAAATTTTGTTGCAAATTACCACTTTTTTACCCAAATTTATCAATTGTGTTACATTGAATTGGTGGTAAGTTGCAACAAAATTTTTAAAATTGGTGGTTTTTTGCAACATTTTTTTTAAAGGTGGTTAAATGCAAAAAACAATATTTAAAAGGTTGTTATTTGCAAAGTTTCCTTAAAAAAATAATAAAAATTAAAAATTGAACTATGACTTAAGAATTTAAGATTAGATTATGCGTACGCGCACAGAATTGTTGCAACTGCACATTGTTTAAAGCTTATGAGATTAAACAAATTTTTTTGTTTGTTTGTTTTAAGTTATGGGCATTCATAAATTGTTTCAGTAATTAAAAGAAAAACAATAGAGTAAAAGGGGAAGTAAACCAGAAAAAGAAGGCCAAAATCATTACATTGAACCTAACAATCTAACATAATAGTCCAAATTAAGAATTCAACTACATGTGCTAAACCAACAAACGCCTACTTCTTATGTAGTTCCTACATGATAACGTTGCAATAAAACAATAGTTACTTATCTCGATGTTGCTTGAATCAAAGTGACAATTGTCGTGTCGTGGCAAACCACCGACTTAAAAGACGATTCTGTGCTACCTTTCGATGCAATAGACGTGAAGCGGTCGCATCCAGGATAAACACGACGCCGAAGTTTATATGTACTTTCAAATCCGACTGAAACTCAAAATACTTGTCCAGAAAACATAACCAGTGTTTAGTGTTTAGATAAGAGAGAAAGATAGAAATTGAGTTGTATTTTTTTATGATGTGAAGGCTGGTTTTTATATAGAAACTGAAGGCAACGGTTAGCACACTAAGGGGGAAAAACGACCGAAATTAAGGAGCATAACTGTAGCCATAAAGGTCATAACAGTCGGCTACAATCAAGCCATAAAGGCCCCAACACTCGACCCTTCCATATTTTGTATGGAGTCTTGTCAAGCTTCATGTGAGGAACCATGTTCAAAACATGACAAGCTGAAAGAAAAACCTCCCCCCATTTGTTATTAAGAAGCCCATAACTAATAAGCATAGAATTCATCATATTCTGTAAAGTTCTATTTTTTTCGGCTACACCATTTTGTTCGGGTGCATATGAAGCTTTTTTTCATGTACAATGTCGTTTTACTCACTAAATGCCTTAAGAGTGTTAGGGTCATACTCACCACCCGTATCTCTCATGAGCCTATTAATCTTCTTGCCCAATGGTTTTCTACCTCAACCTTATATTTGAGGAACATTTCCTTTGCTTCATCCTTACACCTAAGAAGATAAACCATGGTGAAACGAGAACAATCATCAACAAAAGTTATGTAATACTTTACCCCCTGCATGCTGTAATACTTCATCAGTCTGTCTATCAACTGATTTAAATGGCTACTTTGTAAATTTGGCTTTAACGCATATTTCACATTTTGAAAAATTAGTATTAGAAAAGTGTGGAATTAAATTTAAGTGTTTAAGCCTTTCAATCGAATCAATATTAACGTGACCCAACCTTGCATGCCTTTCATCAATAGACTCAGCAATATAAGCAGAAGAAGTACTAGCTTAGCATTCTCATTCATATTATCAATTTTAACATCAAGAGTAAAAATTCCCCCATTACAAAAGCCCTTCCCCACAAATCTCCATTGCGAGTAAGAACTAATCTATTAGAATCAAAAGAGAGCTTCAGTCGAGCTTTCATGAGCAAACTACCAGAACTTAAATTCCTGCGCATTTCTAGAACATGAAAAACATTATAAAGAGTAAGCAATTTTTGAGGAGTGAGAGTGAGAACGGTCTTCCCTTTGCCTTGGATAGGAGCGGAAGCTGAGTTACCCATGAAGACATTTTTACCATCAACTTTGTCATAGGTAGTGAACATGTCTTTGACGTTGGCGCAAATGTTCCTTGTTGCTCCAATGTCAACCATCCACTCAGTATCATTTCCTATCAAGGTAGCTTCTAAACAACAGCAATAATAGCGTTGGAATCCTCAGTGAGATCCGCTACACTCTGCCCATTTTCTTCTTGAGCCTGTAATCATTAGATTATAAACCGTTAGACCATATTCAAAACAAGTTCCCCTAAACTTAAACTTATAAACTTTCCCTTCAAGCTTAAGAGAACTGCGTTTTGCCTTTGGATTGGTTGTTGGATTTTGGTTCAACAAGATTGGCTTTGGCAAAAGAAGAAGGTAAAACATATTGGCCTTTGTCCCTAATACGATTTTTCTCCTCAATTTATTTTGAGTTGTCCCACAAGCTCCTCTAAAGTTAGGTCTTTCTTTCTGTGCATCAATTGGCTACGAAAATCCTTCCAAGAGGGAGGTACGAAGTTTCTCAACCAAAACAACAACAAAGGTAATATCACAAATAGACGGAGCTTCAACAACCATATCAATACACACATTCTCATAAGCATGAATCTGATCAATAATAGGCTTATCATCCACCACTTGCAAAAGGGTTTTCAAATTTTTTTGGCCATTTAGGCCGGAAATTAGACTATTTCCAACCCTTTTTCCCTTAATTATTTTTCTTTAGTTTTAATAAATCTACAAGAGTAGTGTAGATGTTCGTCCGTCTCCCTATGGAGGAGTCATTAGTTTTTTTTTTTTTTTTTTTTTTTTTTTGGTTGTTAGTTTATTAAAAAGGTTATCATATTTTGCCCAATTATCTGTTCGTTGGTAAAGAGTTGTCCGGGATCTCAACGGTTGTCAAATCTTCATAGACGTTCAAGTGAATCAGATGAAAATATCCTGATGGCTACAACGAATCGTTAGACCGTCTTTTCGAAAAGGCTGTATATTCTAGAGATGTGTGCGAGATATGTACCACAATGCAGGATCTATTCAATGACCGTAGCTTTGATGAAGGAAACCCTTATTTGATTCGATTTTATGTATTTGTTGATTTAGATTTCATTTGTAGATGTCGTATGACTTTTGATTAATGAATTGATTTGTTTCAAAAAAAAAAAAACCCCACTTGAAAACTTTACCATTTACTAATACAATACGCTTAGTGTACCAACATCATCAATTCCATATTTTTTCTTTAAAGCATCCCTAATATCCTTAGCATGATAAAAAAAAAAACCCCATATAATTGATTTTTCGACATATATATACTGCAACAACATGTCTTTACAGAGTCTATCATCCTTAACAAACTTAACATTAGTTTCAGACCAATCATCTTCCCTTATCAACAGGTTCAACAATTTCATCAAGCACATACTCAACATCAGTTTGTTGTAAATAAACCTACATTCTAACAGCCCGACGTTTATAGTTCTTTTCATCAAGATGTTCTAACTTAGGCATATCAAAAATTTGGAAGCCAGGGCAAAACTATCTTTTAGATTGTTATTCTATATGCAATCAAACAGTAATTAATTATCTCGATGTTGTGTGAACCAAAGTGACAATTGTCGTGTTGTGGCGAATCACCAACCTAAAAGACGATTCCGGCTACCTCCCGGTGACCCCAAAAGCATAACCAACGTTTTGTATTTAGAGAAAAGAGAATTATACAAAATGATGTATATAGTCTGATGATGTGAAGGCTGATTTTTATAGAGAAACAGAAGGCAACGATTAGCACACAAAGGGGGAAAAAGATCGAAATAAAGGAGCAACAGTCATCTACAATCAAGAAACAATGGCCGTAAATGCTTAGGAATATTATGTCAATAAAGAAAGGAAATAAAATTTCTCAAAAAAAAAAATTAGAGGGTCGACAGCCCACCCACCCACGCACGCTTGTGTATCGCATTCCTATAGGCCCATACCCGACCCGACGCACGCATGTGTGTTGGACTCTCCTATCCTTTGTGTTTCTCTCTCTTGTTTTTATATCAAGAACTTCCAACAGAAGTTACACCAACAAATTTTTTAACTTGTAATTTGCAATTATTGATCGTGATGTGGTCTACGCATATGTAGAATTAAAGTGCGACTTTATGTTAAGATCATACCATACAATTCGTTTAAGGTATGTTTTATTTACTTGATTTTCACTTATCTGAATTTAACTTAATATACCTTATTATAACTTATTTTCTTTATATATTTTGTATTTGGGTATCCCTTATTATAATTTAAATTATCTGAACTTATCTTATCTAAATTTATTAAACTCGAAATAAGTGAAAAAACTGAAAATAAGCTGACAAAATAAGCAATAATGTTTAAAT